CTGCCCCAGTCGACCATATCTAGTCGGGACCCATCTGACCATAGGGATAGCCCCGGGCCGATCCCCTTGGGCGGCCTCTAAGGCTTCCTCGGTTGGTAGGACCTTGATCTGACCTGGGAATAACGCTGGGGCTATCTCAGTTGTCTCCTCAAACCCCCCAGAGGGGTCAACCGGCAAGGTCTCTGCCAGTCGCCGGGCTAGGTGCTGCCCCAGTGACCATGGGCCCCGGCTTCTGGTGCTCGCCTCTGCCCACTCCCTATCCCCTACTGGTTGTTCTCCAGGTTGAGCATGTTGATCTCCCTCACGAAATGAGATAGGAAGAATCTGCCTAGCCGGGTGGTCCGCTGGCAGGCCTAGGAGTCTCGCCGTATATGCTAGTTGTCTTGCCTCTAGGAGGGTCTCTGCTGGTTCTATGCCTGCTTCTCGAACTAGGGGCCCTATAGGGGTCGTTCGAAACATTCCGGTGATAGCTCGGGCCTGTTGGTTAATTAGGCGTTGAATGCCCCCTAGCCGGTCTTTCTGGCCCTGCCACCATAGCTCTGCCCCGTATAAGGCTACAGCCTGGACAGCTGCGACCTGAATTTTTCTGACTAGGCCTGGAGCTAGTCCCTGCTGCCGACATAGGGCTTGGACCCGTGCCTCAGCCATCCGAGCTTTCCGTAGGCAGGTCTGATAGTGAGTCTTCAGGGTCAGCCCTGTATCTAGCCATATGCCTAGCCAGCGGGTGGCCTCCTGATTGAATGAGATCTGATGGCCCCCTATAGATATCCTTGCCCGTCGGACCTGGTCCCTGAGTGCCCGACCTCGTTTGCGGGTGAATAGGGTAGCCTCTGTCTTCTCAGCATCAAACTGGACATATGTATTGTTTCGGTCGACGACCAAATGCTCGCTTAATCGAGAGCCATGTCGATGCGTCTGCTCGTTCGTGATTCGTCAGGGGAGCAGAGATTTGCAGTCATGTCCGTCACAATGTCTGGTATATACATACTTGGGCACGTATCTGCTACCACGAATACGCCATGTACAGGTCGAGAGTTTGCGACTTTCATCCACAATGGCGGCCATTGAATTGCGTGCTGCAGACTCACCTGCCCAGGACGTCAATCAGTCGGTGCACATTATCAACTATGTCACCCAGTCGTTGTGTCTCGTCTTCATGACCGTCTTTTTCTTCCTGCGGGTGTATGCTCGTATGAAGGTTCTCAATGGGTTTGCTATTGAAGATTGTACGCGAAGAACATGTAGCAGGGCTTGGGCAGTACTGACATTGATCTTAGGGTTTTGTCTGGGCGCATATGTCAGTTACTCAGTCTACATCGCAGCCAGCCAGGCAGTTATTGACAGTCATTAGATTCTCGGAGTATGCTACTCGATCATTGCTCTCATCAGTGAGTTTCAGGACTCGACTCTCAACTGCCCTGACTGACGCGTTCCAGTGGGCTATTTCGGCGGAGGCCTCCATATCAAGGACGTCCCCCCTGACCATGTAATTCCCTTCAACAAGGTTCGTCCTGGCATTTTACAGTCAAGATAACCCGCTGAAATACCGTCCAGACAGTCTACGTAACGATGGTCATGTACGGCCCAACCGCCTTCCTCACCAAGATCTCCATCCTCTGGATCATGACCCGCGTCTTCGCCCCCAACAGGAAGGCCATCTACTTCATCTACGCGCTGCTCGGCATCATGCTGGCGTACTACATCCCCGCCGTCATCGTCAAGATCCGCATCTGCTCGCCCATCTCGCGTTTCTGGTTGGGCGCTTCCGTCGGAGGCACCTGTCTGAACGAAGGGTCCATTATCCTGGCGGATGCGGTCATCAGCGTCATCAGCGATTTGACGATTCTGCTGCTCCCGCTGCCGCTGACAATGAGTCTGCAGATGGCCATGAAGAAGAAGCTGCGGGTTATCGGCATCCTGGGTGCGGGCGGGCTGGCGGTCGCGTCCAGTATCATCCGGCTGGCGTTCATCGTGCAGTTTGGCAATTCGCCGGATTCGACGTATGCATTTATGCGCATCAACATGTTTGGGTAAGCTGTACTTTCTAATACTGAACTGATGGCAAGGCTAACCCCTGCAGCAACGCCGAGATCAGCATCGGCATCATCTGCGCCTGTCTCCCCGCCCTATCGGCCCTCATCTCGACGTACGTCCGCGAATACTCTTCCAACAAAGCGACCTCGTCTTCGCAGCCGCACGAAATGAGCAAGCTAAGCCGGACGAGCAAGACGAGAAGCCAAGGCCGCACCGATGTAAGCAAAGGTAGTCGACACCGGATGAGCATCACCGAGGGCGGGTCCGACAAGGACATCTTGATCAGCAACGCCCAGGGCGAGCCGCGCATCGAGACCTCCATCCAGAGCGATGCGGATCTGCCGTCTCAGCGTCGACGACGGGGGTCCGTGGATGGGATGGGGATTGTGAAGACGGTGGATCTGTCGACAACGTATGTCCAGAGGGATTAGCACTGAAGTTGTTCAGCTGTGTCCATTTCTGAATGGCTTGTTTAATACCCATTGTGTAGGATTATGTCTGTGGCTGTCTTGTTGAATACCCGCAGTTATGGCTGTTTGTGATACTACGTGTTGTTGAATTTCCTTGGGCAAAAAAAAAAGTTTTTTTTTGGGAACTAGGGCTTTGGACTGGGAATGGGTCATTTAAGGCTTATAAAGAACCGTTTTCCTTTTGACGTGCTTTTCTTTTGTTTTATTGCCAGTTCATATCTACTTAGTCTCACGATATAAGGAGTACAATGCAGCACTGATTGGTGTTATCAATTAATCAGGGAGTTATTATTAAATGTTTTTATTATACCTCTACAGAGTAAAAAAAGGGCATTAATTAAGCAAGAAAAACGGAACAATTTTTTTGAGCCCAAAATGCAGAGTATTACATGTGTGCGGAGTACACATACCTACCTACCTCCTTGAAGAGTCAGTCAGAGTCTGCCCCTAATAGCTACATAACTACCTTAGTACGCAATGCCGATTCCTGGACTTGGTAACACGCCAGCTAACAGCATGGATCAAGTGAGATGATCACATCCATCCTCCGTACGGAGTATGGAGTATAGGATATGGAGAACGTAGCCCCGGTTATGCATAACTGAAGGGCCGTTAGAACAGTGGGACAGACGGGGCTGCAGACCAGTCTGTCTCCACTGTTCTTGCCATCTGCAGGACTACAGGAGTTAGTTAAACTAGTTCTGTACGGAGTATTGTGATCACCCCTGGTTTCTCTTCGCCCATGTCCATGGCTGATGTGACTAATTATGTTGCGGACTAATACTGTGTTAGTACTGAGGTTTAGACCTAACATAGACTGAAAATTAGCTGATGTAGTGTACAGTACATACTTACTCTGCTAGTTTCCGGGATTCTGCTCCTATGTACTCCATACTCCGTATTATGGCGACGCCCCTGCCAAGAGCAAGAAATACCTGCTAATGAGGACCCGACTTCTCAGACGTCGGTTATGTGGTAGTTTGGATTTGAATCATTGATAGGCATATACTAGGAAGTTAGAAACTACATAACTACGTAGGTATCAATTCCAGGTGTTGAGATTTAGCTACCTGTGTAAGATACTCTATACCATTGACTTATCAATCCTATCTACCTAGGTGCAGTATGAGTACCTAGATATGTGTACAGTACTTACCTAGTAGTTGACATCTTTACATCCCATCACATACCTTAATTAACTACTTACAAAGACCGTCCTCTCTGGCGATTGTGTTTGGGACTGGGCCGGATGCATATATACGCAATCCATGGACCACACTACTTGCTAGTATTTACCGCAATGTGATGGTCTCTATTAAGCGGACTAAGGACAGAGTACTCCATACTCCTACAGAGACCTCCGTACTGTACCTAGGTAAGTCCATCTCGTCGGAAGAATACTACCGCAGGATTTAATCCCTGTCATAACTAAGTCTAACTAACTCTGACAGCAGTCGCGGATGCAGCTTGCATAGCAAGCACGGGAGACATGTTGCCGCCATTGGTTGTAATTGTCAGGGATGTTAAACTTTTCTTTTTCTTTTTCTTGTTTTTTTTTTTTTGTCTTCTTCTAACTCAGCCACCAGCCTGAGGTAATATCCTTATCCTTGCGAGTTCTTGTCCAGACTTCTATTTACTGTCACTAGGCCGAAACTGAATTTAAAGGCTCACACACTGCTCATGCTTAGTTCCTGACAGCCAATGCAGAGGGAGATTATTTGCGACTTCGATGTGGATAGCTTGAACAATGCTTGCATGCGCTGTTTGCTGTTACAGACCAGAAATAATAACATGATCAGAAACTTGAGCTAATACGTTCTGTTCTATTTGGCGATATTCCTTTGCATTTGGTAGATACCTGTTCTTTTTTTCTTTTTTGGGCAATAAATGATATGAACAAAGTTACATCCATAGAGTACACAGTACGGAGTATTGGAGTATCGTCCTCTGCAGTAGGTAGTTAACTACTAATCCACTCAAATTTCTCCCAGGCTTAAAAAAAAAGACCAGTCTTAAAGCCAAGGCGTCTATCAGTCTACTAGTGGAGAATCGACAGACGCAGAATTGGATATGGATGTGTCCAATCCAACATCTTTGCTCAGCATTATTCCTTTTTTTTCCTCCAACCTTTCTGTCTTCCTATGAAGATGAAATCGTATTAATATTTCCTTCAATCTGCGTCCAAGTCTGGGTCACAATGGCAATTATAAAACAGTATCAGAGGATAAGGAACGACATAATTAAATTCAATAATACGAATTAAATAAGAGACGAATCTATTATTGATCGTAATTTTTAATGCCGTCTCTTCTCAAGTAGATTACGGAGTATATGCGCTGCTATGGATGGTTTCTTTTCTTTCTTTCTTTCCCGTCTTTTTTTTTAAAAAAAAAATCCATTCAAAGGGTTCAGCTCTGAATAATATAACGCTCATCAGTTAAAAAAAAACCACGAGTGGTGATACTTACGTCGGGTTGGGGTTATTATTTTAATCCCTCTTACGGCTATTATAGATCAACCATAGTATGTGAGAATTCATGGAGTTATCATAACTATGTAAAAGTATGTAAATATCCCAATTATATAAATATCCCAATGACTTAACTCCTGGTATCATCCAGACAGAGAATGGTTCAGTCAACTTTACATATATGAGTGACACGTGCTCTGACACGTACTTCGACAATATATATATATCCGCTGCATTGCCGTTCGGCTAAATACCTAGGCTAAATTAAGAAGATACTTAGAAGTTATCTGCAAGAGCGCTTGCTTGTTTTTCTTTTCTTTTTTTTTTTGCTTTTACTTTTTTATATCAAATTTTTTTCTTCATTTATTAACTTTTTCCTTCGGACAGTCCCTTTGGGTTAGTGCTAGCGAAGGACCCTGGTTGAATGAAGGTTGATCCCGTGCTTCTACCTATTTGCGCAAAAAGCCAAAAAAAAAAGGAAAAAAAATCACTGTTACTCCCTCGTCGACGCAGAAGATGTGTCGCGTAAGAATAAGATAATTCATCTCTCATTCCAAGTAATAAAAAACATAATTTCAATATTTTTATTCTACTGATATTTATTAAATTGCTGATTTCTCGCGGCTAAAGCGCGGGGGCCGTCACGCTTAGTCATGCCCTCGACCAATCAGCATGCAGCCTCCGATTGCGCCAACGAGGGGTTGCGATGCAGAAATCCTGAATTAAAATTCAATCCTCAGGCAGGCAATCGGGGGAATGCCGACCGATAAGCGTAAATTTTTGCTGCTGTCCATCATCCAGGACCAGCAGCGTCCGTCTTTGTTCTGCTCTCTGTCGCGAACGAGACTGATCTTTGCGATCGCCTATATCAGCACGCGCTGTGCGACTCACCATGTCGGATGACGTTAGCGACAGGGACGCTGTCCCCGCGGACAGCGAGGGCAGCAGGCCCCAGACAGAGGCCAGCGATGACGCGCGCTTGTTGGTACGTACTGCATGCATGGTGGTCGTTGGCCAATGTTGATGTAGTCCAGCTGACTGACGCCGCTTAGGAAACGATGGGATATAAGCAAGTATGTATCGAGAGCTAGCAGTATTTCAAGGATACTTGCTCATTCCTGGCTAGGTCCTCCATCGATCCTACACGTTACTGGAGAATTTCTCGACGACGTTCGGTAAGCTCCTTTCGCACTTCATTCCAAAAGCGAATCGCTAACTGATCCAGCGGCGCTGTACTTCGTCGGCGGTGTCCGTGTCACCTTCAGCACCGGTATCGCCGGTGGCGGCAACTTGGCCTACTGGTAGGCCCTATCTCTCGTCTGATCAGTTCTGGTCGCATTCTGACTCTCGCAGGACGAGCTACCTCGTCACCATGGTCTTCTCGTTCATGACGGCTGCCGTCATCGCCGAGGTCTGCTCGGCTTCTCCGTCTGCGGGCTCCATCTACCTCTGGGCTGCCGAGGCGGGAGGTCCCCGGTTTGGCCGACTCTTGGGGTTTGTCGTTGCGTGGTGGAGTACGACGGCCTGGACGACGTTTTGTGCGAGTAAGATGAATTCTCCGAGAGACTCTAGTCAGATACGTACTGACCTCTGCAGGCAACACGCAGGCTGCTGTCAACTACATGCTATCGGTGTGTGTTAATTACTAGATTACAATTGGATTATATCTGCTAACTGGAGAAGGAAATAACGGTCTTCAATCTCAGCTTCCCCACTGACCCTGGCAATGTCAAATTCCGAGCCGTGCAATGGGCCTGCACCGAGGTGCTCCTGGCGTTGGCCGCTCTCATCAACTTTTTACCACGTATGTAACTGTCTGCAGGCTATCATTAAAGATACTAATTCCTCAGCGAAAAAATTCCGATGGGTCTTCTACCTGTCGTCTGCCATGGTCCTGCTTGACTTCTTCCTCAACCTCATCTGGCTGCCCATCGCTGCGCACAACACCTGGGGCTTCCGCACCGCCAAGGAGGTACGTCTTCTCACTAGCTCAATTGACATGTGACAGGGTTATTTACGTTGATAGGCCTTCATGACGACGTACAACGGCACCGGCGCCCCGCCGGGATGGAACTGGTGTCTGTCGTACCTCGCGACAGCAGGAATTCTGATCGGATTTGACGCCTCGGGACACGTCGCCGAAGAGACCAAAAACGCCTCTGTGACGGCTGCACGGGGCATCTTCTGGAGTACGGTGGCCAGCGGGGTTGGCGGGTTGGCTGTCATTATTCTGTTTCTCTTCTGCGCGGTTCGTCAGGCGTCCATCCTCCTTGAGTAGGCCTGTCTGTTCTGACTCTTCCAGCCCGATCCCGACACGCTCTTCTCGTTTGGCGCTCCCCAGCCGTTTGTGCCACTGTATGCGGCCGTTCTAGGGCAGGGAGGCCATATTTTCATGAACATTGTCTGCATTGTCGCGTTGTGGTTTGTAAGTAGAAGAACTGTCCTATTTTTTTCTGTTCCCTCCTTCTTTTCTGTCTAACTGCTATAGAACACCGCCATCGCCATCGTCGCCGCCTCCCGTCTCGTCTTCGCCGTCGCCCGTGACGGCGTCCTGCCCTTCTCGGGCTGGGTGTCCAAGGTCTCCGACGAAGGCCAGCCGCGCAACGCGGTCATCGTCGTCTGGGCCGTCGCCGCCCTGGTGACGTGCACCATCCTGCCATCCAGCGTGGCCTTCACGTCGCTGATCTCGGCGGCGGGCGTGCCGTCGGCGGCCGCGTACGGCCTCATCTGCCTGGGACGCATCTTCCTCACGCCCAAGACCTTCCCCAAGCCGAGATGGAGTCTGGGTCGCTGGAGCAAGCCGTTCCAGTTTATCTGCATCTTCTGGAACGGATGGGTTGTGGCGGTGTTGTACTCGCCGTATGAGTTTCCTGTGACGGGGGATACATTCAACTGTATGTAGTACAACTTTTTTGTTTCTGCTGTACTGGGCCATGCTGACTAGTTACAGACGCACCCGTCATCATGGGCGGTGTCACTATCCTCGCCCTGCTCTCGTACTGGCTCACTCCCGAAGAGGCCTGGTTGCCGCGGAACCGCATCTCGCATTTTATTGAGAGTAAGGGGGCTGTCGAGGAGGAGGTGGTTACTCCGAAGTAATTGACTTGCTCGGCAGATTCTATATAATAGGCGTGCAGCTCGCAGTGCTCGTCGGGCGTATATACCATAGACGATATATGATAGAGTAGACGATATAGATGAGATAGATAGCGTGCGTGTACGGCAGGCAGACATAGATGTAGATACTAATCAATAATCAAGTTGTATATCCATCCTATCACTACACGACCATTGTCATTTTTTTTCTTTCTTTACTTCTTCTCCACCTGAGTGACAACCCCCTCCACCTCTGCAGGTGACTCCGCCTGATCAATATCAACCTGCCGCATGGGCCCCTGGAACCATCGCCGCGCCCACAGCACCCACGAGGACAGGGTCGCGACGGCAACAATGCCGACCGCCACGGGGGTGTAATTCAGCGTCTGCGACGTGACGGGGTTTGCGGTTGGGAGGCAGAACACGACTGTAATGAAGAGGACCTGTTGCAGCAATCACATAAGGTCATATATCCTGCAAAACGGAGGTATGAGGTGTATCACATACCCAACCAACAGCAACGACACCAACGGGCCACGACAACACGCCCAGATCAAACGGCCCCTTGACGAACCCTCCTGGCCAGACGACCGCAATAGCGATCGGCAGCGCATAGCTGATATACAGGCCTATCGTGGCGATGCTCGTGGCCGCGGAAAAGGCCACCTCACTGCCCAGCGAGGGCAGACTGAGACAGAAGGCCAGAAAGGCCGCCAGCCAGACGGTGCGCGTCGGGCTGTGATACTTCTTGTCGACGTGGTCGAAGAATCGCGGCAGCGCGCCGTCGCGCGAAAACGCGAACATCATCCGGCTATTGCTCGTCAGGCTGAAGAGCCCGCAGTGCCAGACGCAGAGGATGATGAGCGCGATGAGCACGAGCGCGCCGTCCGCGCCGAACACGTCGACCAGGATCTTGAATACGGGCTCGCCGTAGTTCTGGCTCGGGTCGATAGTGGCGGAGAAGTCTTGAATTGAGAAGAGCAGGCACAGAAGCAGGAAGAAGCCGAAGATCGCGGAGACGCTGATGCTCATTAGAACACCGATTGGGGCGCTCCATGCTGCGCGGTGGGTTTCTTCGGAGAGGTGCGCGGAGGCGTCGAAGCCTGGCAGCTTGTCAGGACAGATGTCTGAGATCGTGAAGTTTTCATTTTATATCTGCTTACCTGTGATGGTATATTGACTGAGCAGGATCCCGCAGATAGCGACATACGCAGGCGACGCGCGCACCGACCAGCCAATAGACGGCGAGGAGCCAGTTCCCTGCATCGTCAGCAAATATCCATCATTTAGGCTGCATGAGAAGTATGTACTATGCATACATCGTAAAAATGCTGAAACACCTCCGCCGCCGAACGGTGCGTCGGCGCCTTCGCGACAACCGCAATCGCCAGACTCCCCACGCCGAGACTGTGTAGGATGATGGACGAATTGTTCAGGTACTTCAGCACGCGCACCCCAAAGGTATTGACCATGCCGTGGCTGACGAGGATGGCCGCGTAGATTCCCAGCGTCTGGCCTGGTGTAGCTGTGTATCCCGTCTTGATGGACGCGGCGGTGGCGATTAGCCCTGCGCAGCCGAAGCTGATGCCTGTTGTTACTGCGAACTAGGCAGCGTTAGCTGCAGTCAGCATTGTATTGTATGTATTTGTGTACCCACCTGCCCAACAAAATTAAACCACCCCGTCACCCACGACAGAAACGGGGCGTGCTGCTTCGGCGCCAGCGTCGCGGCCCAGAAGTATGGCCCGCCGCTGGTGGGAATGGCGGAGACGATCTCAGCCATGCTGAGGCCGACGATGAAGGTCATGAGGGAGACTGCTCGACATAAGTAGGGGCAGGCAGGTAGGTATCGAGAGGCAGATGTAGCTGCTTACCGACGATCCAGCCCACTGTCATGACAGCTAGAAACAATCAGTTAGTAAAATATCCTATTCTGATGATAATAGATAATATATCAGCGAAGGTATGTACAAACCAGGTCCACCGGTATTCAACCCATAGCTAATAATATCCCGCCATCAGCCATACCCATAACCCATATCAACCACACATGGCGTCACCATCCTGTACGTATATAGGTACAACATACCTAAACAGCGTCGTAATACCCGTGATAACGCTCTTTTCAATGCGTCGGCTAGTCAGTAACTAACTCCATATCCACCTTGGAAGGGCTATGTATGCAATATAGATAGGATTGCGCACAATGATGGAAAACGACACTCCGAAATTGTGCAGCACTGTCCAGTCGCGTCGGAGCTCTTGCTTGTATCCTAGCTCCGCTAGGCGGCTCTCATCTTGGATGGTGACTGCTGTGGTGGGATGGCGGGGGGTCATTTTTTGTCGGTCTTATGGCGCGTGCTAGTAGCTATCGTTATCAGCGGTGGGACAAGGTAATTGGACTCGAATTAAACGTAGATTCGAACCTCGTCAGAAGAGGCCAATGTTGCTGTACTGTAGTACGACAGACAGAAAGGAGTTCACCCAAGACCAAACAAACGAAAAGAAAAGAAGAGAAACGCGCAGGAGGAAATTTCCATTTCATCAGCCGATACGATAATACCATCTTTATCAGGATGAGATGACAGGACCCGTGCGTGATTACGGAGATTGAGTAGCTACCTGGCTAGTTACTGTTAGGTAGCTCTTATCTTTGCGAGAGATAAGACTATGATAGGATAGGATAGGATAGACCTACCGAGATAGGTAAGGAGGTGCAGTGCCTCGTATCACTACTCCGTATCTTCTCCGGAGTACTAATATGAATAACGCGAAAATTAAAAATAAGAAAATCATTAATTAGCTTCTACATTTTAACTTGGTAGATAACAGGTAGTGAATGAATAGTATTATTTAATTAGACAATTACGTTATTACATTTTGTGGATGTCATCTTAGTGATCTTATTATGCTTTAATTTTTTTTTAAGAAAAGAAAATAAATAAATAAAAAGAAGTCCATGATTAAAATATAATGTTAATTGGACCAGTTAAATTTCGTAACGTTACTATGTGAATGTCCTTTTTTTATATGAGTGGAGCTAGTGGATTGTCCTTAGATCGATCGTTTTATTTATATCAGACGTCAAGGACACTCCACCGTCTCTGGTATCTAAACTATTAGCGAGAAGACCCAATAAAGGGATATATATATTTGGAGATAGTCCCAGAATGGGTTTGTCTACTGCCTTTTCCTGCCAATCTCCGTCTGCAAAAACCGCAGAACCTCCTCCGGCCGCGCCAGCCACGGCGTATGCGCCGCCTTGATCCGCTCCGTCTTCATCGGCGCACCGCTTCCTCGCGCCTTCTCGACCATGGCCTCCTGCACCGCTATCGGAATTGCCCGATCCTCCTCGCAGAGCAGGTATGTTGACGGAATGGTCAGGTACGCCGCGTCTGTGGCCGGTGACACCTTTGTCGCCCATGCGTGAGGCCGGAGTGTGCTGGCCCAGTAGTGGCCCCCCAAGGCACTGTTCACTGGTAGCCCGGCCCAGCTGTGCACGACCAGAACCACGTCTCGCCCGGCGTCCGCTTCGGGCTCGACCAGCGCACGGGTGGCTTCGATGTCGGGCTGGAGGTCCTTGACGGTCGTCGCTTGTTGGATGGAGGGGAAGGCGATGGTCTGGCAGTGGCTGATATGGCCGTGTTGGCGGAGCTGGGTGATGATCGAGTCGAATGCTGTTGGGGGGTACCAGGCGCCGGGGGCGAAGATGAGAGATAATTCGGTCATGATGATCTTGAAGGCTTGTCTTTGTCGATTTCTCAATTCATAATATTTCACGTTTGAGCGTTGTAAGACTTTTATCGAGAATAGAGGAATAATCCCAGCCGCAGTTTTATATACTATAACAGGCAGCGAGGCTGTGTCCATACAACAATCTTTAGCAGTAGTTAACTTTATCCATGTCAGTAGCTGACTGATTGTCCACAAATCTTTCACCCAACAGGTGTCCGCTCACCATCACTCGTCAGTCCGTCTGCCCAGTTATATACCGCACCCGACCCAAGAAGGGAATTACAGCAGTGAGACTGTTGACGCAAGTGGGGCAACATAGGTATTCAGCTCTCGTTCAGCCGCTCTGCCTATGTCTGTATGGATGTACAGTACAGTACATGTTGGTGGCTGATCGCAGATCCATTGACTACACAAAGATACTTCAGGAGGAATGAAAGAAGAACGCTCCAACTACACATATGAAATGGAATACCCATACATGTGATTAACCCGTGGTCATGGATCATCCATGTGATCTGGGAATGGATCACCCGTACCCTCCATCGAGAAAGATATGGCATCGTACCACGGCAGTACAAATTCGAGGTTGTTGGCCTTCAGCTAATTGGATGAATATGATATGGCTACAACGTTGTGGTGGGTGGAGTTAGGGTAGGTTAAGTAACTCAATTGATTGATTGATTGATTTCTTCCCGTGGCCTTCGTTGGATGGACAATGGCGAATTAATTAATTCTCTTGCTCAATTAGCTGTAGATAAATAATATAGAAATAGTCTTTAAAAAATTTTTTTCTTTCTGGTAAGAAAAAGTAGTAAAAATATTTTCTTTAATTTAAAAAAAAAAGAGGGAGAAAAAAAAATCTTTCCAGAAAATAGTATTAATTAATATTTTTGAGTCACCACTATGTATTCTACTATAATAAGCTCATCTGGCATCTGGGCCAGCATGTTGTGGTACAACGGTAAAATGTCGTACCTTGACGGAGGTACCTTTGGCGGGGGCCATGGGCGTTCCATCCCAGTCACATGGGATGCCCGTGACCTGGGTATGGATAATCCATTTCGTGTACGTAGCTAGATGGTCCTTCCTTGATCATCTCATGGGTCATCCTTCATGGCAATGCCATACTGCATTTTAGTCGCTACACAGTACATCACTACTAAACAGCATATTCTGACTGGCAAGTGAAGAATTTCCATATAGCAATAACTTGAGTTTATATTTACTTTCCTTTAACACTATGAATGAAGAGAATGGCGTTAGTTGAGAGGCAATCAAACAAATTGGCCCATTGATCACATCTGAATGGTCATCAATACAAATTTCACGCATTAGCTTATTTATTATGCTTTCCTGGCAGAACGCATTGTGTAAGTTGGCCTGCCACCTTGAGGACGTTGGTTGAGAGCTGAGTGATGACTGAAACTTGGTATTCTTCTTCAGTTTTGAACTATCTCCAGCTTGAAATGCTACTTCGGTCAAAAAACATACCGAGTATTTTTGAGCTCCGCTCAGTCAGCCTTGACAAGGTAGGATGCATGGCGTGACGGGCTGCCACGTGACTAGACTCGTCGAATGATGCGAGTTGGGATCACAGTTCCTTTTATCTGGGATACTCCTGTTAATGTCGGATTCCATCTGTAGTACGGAGAGGGAAAACCTTTAAGCAACCAGCAGAACATGACCTATCGGATTTTGATTGATCTCTAACCCCCACCCTGAGCTGGCACGGCACGGGTTACATCCGATGCAGACAGTGCAACAAGTTGTTCTTACCTATTTCAGCAGCAACATCCAGTGGGGCGATGGCTCCTTCCGGGGAACCCCACGTACCCACCGCTAGTCGACGGTCGCGCCTTCCCCACGTCAATCCCCCAGACGGCGGGCGTGGGTACAATCTAGGCAGGTACTCATGACATCAGTTGCTCTTGCCTGCTTCGGCTTGTTGCTGCCGGATAACCGCTGGCCGTGCTAATAGCAGGTCAGACGACTCTTCCCTGCCATGCGAGGGGCGCGACTCGTGGCATGCTCGCGGAGTTGGAGAATCCGTCCGCCAGTCACATACCAAACCCCCTTGTGTCGTGACAGCGCCCCCGCCATGGCACCAATGCCCCTGTCACTGAACCGCCGGCCCTGGTCCCCCTCTTCTTCAGTCCTGTTGACATCTTGCTGCTGCAGAGCATGTGTCTTTGCCAAACTCCCCTTCAGCAACACTGCTGCCATTCAAGATGAGCTGGCTGTCGTTCATGCCGCCGGCTCTGGCGCCGTGTCGTGCTGCCTCCCGTGGTGCAGCCTGGCCACTGCGGCTGCTGGGGCTCTCAGGTATGTGACTCCTAGCCGAAAGGAGATAGACCGTTAAGTGCTGACGGAACGCCTCAACAGCTGTGCAAGCACGGAGCTTTCCTGCTGCCTCGCGCAAATGGAACAGCAGACACGATTACAATCCTATCCCAAAGAGGACTGCTACCACCGCATCTACTCCGTCAGCCGTCCCTTATGCTTCCCTCACTGTCGGCATTCCACGCGAGACCTTTCCCAACGAGCGGCGTGTTGCCATCACTCCGCAGAACGTGGCATTGCTTCTCAAAAAGGGTTTCTCGCGTGTGCTCGTCGAGCGTGGTGCTGGAGAGGCGGCCCAGTTCACCGACGAGGCGTATACCAAGGCCGGCGCCACCATCGTCGATCGAGACGCGGTGTGGTCCCAGAGTGATGTCCTGTTGAAGGTGCGCGCTCCAGGCATTGATGATCCTAACAATGAAGTCCAAGCCTTCCGTGAGGGCGGAACAATTATTTCCTTCCTCTATCCCGTGCAGAACAGGCCGGTAGTCGAAGCTTTGGCGTCCCGTGGAGTTACGTCGTTTGCAATGGATAAGATTCCTCGCATCTCTCGCGCTCAGGTATTCGACGCATTGAGGTGCGCCAGAGTTCGCGTCTATGCAGAGACAGCCGGAGACTAACGGTTTTGTTCTCGATAGCTCTATGGCTAATATTGCGGGATACAAAGCGGTTCTGGAAGCCTCGAATGAGTTTGGTCGCTTTCTGACAGGTCAAGTTACGGCAGCTGGGTAAGCTTTTTCTGGGAAGCATCTTCCAACTCAATAGTTCACTAACACCTGCGATTGCTTTCAGAAAGGTCTTGTGCTAGAAATCCGTTTCTTCTGCACCTTTGCGAACTAACCATCGTGCAGATTCCTCCTAGTAAGGTGCTCGTAATTGGTGCTGGTGTGGCTGGTCTCAGTGCCATTGCTGCTGTATGCCCCCGTATTCCGTAACTCTGTTCGTATACCAATGAGCTCTACTCCAGGCTCGTCGTCTTGGTGCCATTGTTCGAGCCTTTGATACGCGTTCGGCAGCCCGGGAGCAGGTCCAGTCTCTGGGTGCCGAATTCATCGAGGTGGATGTCAAAGAAGAGGGCGCCGGTCAAGGCGGCTACGCCAAGGAGATGTCAAAAGAATTCATCGAGGCCGAGATGAAGCTCTTCATGGAGCAGTGTCGCGAGGTAGACATCGTCATCACGACCGCTCTCATCCCGGGCAAGCCTGCCCCAAGACTTCTCACGAAGGAGGTATGGTCCTTTCAATTCGCATATTTTGTGATTGTCTCTGACCACAATCAGATGGTCTCTGCCATGAAACCTGGATCGGTGATCGTTGATCTAGCTGCTGAAGCCGGTGGTAACTGCGAAGTCACGGTTCCCGGAAAACTGACCATATATGACGGCGTCAAGGTTATCGGTTTGTGCCCATTGATGAAGGAGCTGATTAGGTCTTCATTTTGACGTTCGCCAGGATACACGGATCTGCCCTCTCGTCTCCCTACACAGTCGTCTACTCTCTATTCGAACAATATAACCAAGTTTTTGTTGTCTCTCGCCGACAAGGAAAAGAACTTTGCTATCGATCTCTCCGACGAGGTCGTGCGAGGCTCGATCGTAACTTTGAACGGCGAGATTCTCCCACCCGCTGCTCCACCTACACCTTCTCCAACCCCAACGGCGGCTGCAGCTAAAACCCCGTCCGCAAAAGAGGCGGAGTCCACGGCTTTGACTCCCTGGCAGAAGACCACGCGCGAGGTGGCTACGGTTACTGCTGGCATGGGAACTGCATTGGCCCTGGGCAAGGCGACAGGCCCGGTGTTTATGAGCAACATGTTCACCTTCGGTCTGGCAGGTCTGGTGGGCTATCGCGCGGTGTGGGGTGTTGTTCCTGCTCTCCATTCGCCGCTCATGAGTGTCACAAACGCAATCTCAGGTACGATACTTGACCGCGAATGACTGCAGCAACTCGCTAAATCTATTATCTAGGCATGGTTGGCGTTGGTGGTTTCTTCATCATGGGAGGAGGCTACCTACCAAGCACGATTCCGGAGTTGCTGGGCGCAATTTCAGTTCTTTTGGCTTTCGTTAATGTCTCCGGAGGTTTCGTAGTTACCAAGCGCATGCTGGACATGTTCAAGCGTAAGCACAGACAATAGCCCTCACTTTAGCGTTGCTAATATTGTTTCTTCAGGTCCTACGGATCCTCCAGAATATCCATGGCTCTATGCTATTCCTGGTCTCCTGTTCGGTGGTGGTTACCTTGCTGCCGCCAGTACCGGCATGGCAGGGCTTGTACAGGCTGGATATTTAGTTAGCAGTATACTGTGCATTAGTATGTGAGATATAGCCGAACAGCCATCACTGAAATAAGCTAACGTGCACAGGCTCGATCTCCGGGCTGGCCTCTCAGGAAACCGCTCGACGGGGTAACATTCTTGGAATTTTGGGAGTTGGTTCTGGCATTATTGCCTCGCTGCTGGCCGTCGGGTTCTCTCCTGAGGTTTTGGTGCAATTTGGGGCTCTTGCTGGCATTGGAAGTATTATTGGTGAGTCACATACATTGATGTCACGCAGCATGGTGCCAGCTAAACTTGTTATTTAGGAGCTATCATCGGTCGACGTATTACACCAACTGAGCTGCCTCAGACCGTCGCTGCTCTGCATTCCGTGGTTGGTCTTGCGGCGGTGCTGACTAGTATCGGAAGTGTCATGGCCGATATTGCGCATGCCTCGACTCTCCACCTTATCACGGCGTATTTGGGTGTTCTAATCGGTGGGATTCGTTTTATTCTGGTTATCTGAATTGAAGACTGATTAATCCTAGGCGGTGTCACGTTCACTGGTTCGATTGTTGCTTTCCTGAAGCTTGCAGGACGCATGTCTTCCAGCCCCAAGATCCTTCCCGGTCGACACTTGGTGAATTCTTCCCTGCTAGGAACGAATGTGGCGACGATGGGAGCTTTCGTCTCGATGGCACCTGGAGCTCCTGCTATTGCGGCTACATGTCTTGGTGCGAATACTCTGCTCAGCTTCGTGAAGGGCTACACGACCACCGCTGCTATTGGCGGTGCCGATATGCGTAGGTTTCACATCGGCCTCAATTACTTCAACGCTAATTTCTGTTAGCTGTTGTCATTACTGTTTTGAATGCTTATTCTGGATTCGCCCTGGTTGCGGAGGGCTTCATGCTCGACAATCCGCTCCTGACCACAGTGGGCTCCTTGATTGGCGTTAGCGGTTCAATTCTGTCGTACATCATGGTCAGTGTGAGAGGTTCGGAATTTGGTGCGATATTAACTCTTGTAGTGCGTTGCTATGAATCGATCCCTCACGAACGTCCTCTTTGGCGGAATTGCCCAGCCACAAGCGCAAAAGAAGATCGAAGGCGAAGTCACCCAGACGTCGGTTGAAGAGACGGTTGAATCGCTTGCCAATGCTGAGAACGTCATCATCGTATGTACCTCTTCCATGTGATATGAATTGTCTGACAGTGGTAGGTCGTGGGCTATGGTATGGCCGTCGCCAAAGCGCAATACGCCCTCTCTGAGATTACACGCATGTTGCGAGCGAAAGGCGTCAACGTGAGATTCGCCATCCACCCGGTAGCTGGGCGGATGCCTGGTCAATGCAACGTGCTTCTTGCGGAGGCGTCAGTTCCGTATGACATCGTCTTTGAAATGGACGAGATCAACGACGACTTCGCTGATACGGACGTGACGCTGGTCATCGGCGCCAACGACACGGTCAACCCGAGCGCACTGGAGCCGGACTCTCCCATCTCGGGCATGCCGGTCCTGCACGCGTGGAAGAGCAAGGAAGTCATCGTCATGAAGCGTGGCATGTCGAGTGGATACGGTAGGTTGTGCCGATACAGTACTGGTAACTTGCTAACTTGTCTAGCCGACGTGCCGAACCCGATGTTCTACATGCCCAATACGAAGATGCTTTTCGGGGATGCCAAGTCGTCTTGTGATGGTATGTGTGCTGTAATTCATAGTGGATATAGCTAATTCGTCTTTAGCCATCAAGAACGCGCTCGAATCGAGGAAGTGAATGTATCCAAGCAAGCAACTAGGGGACAGCATTTTCTGATGCCTTCTTCCCGTCTCTACCTGCACTATATATACCCATTCAATTCTTCTTACAGCAATGTTGTCGCTTTCATCTTGAAGAATCAGACGAGTCAATATCGTTCTCTGATACATACCATACACGATAAGACAAGACAGAGGATAAATAAGGTAGCATATATCTGCAATTTAAGGCCATTCTCTTGTATATATCTCTGCTCTATCCGTCGTGCAGTGTAAAGAAAGTTAACTGGTGAGGATATACGTGTATAAACTTATTTTTATGTCTCGTAACAAGACGATACTCTATCTGCTGTCTGTTATCGAATTCGAGCATCATCAGGCTGAGGCTGTATATCGGGTGTCAATCCCCCTTACCACGGGAGAATCCGCCCCGCGCATCAAAAGGACACGAATTATTTCTTCCGTTTAGTCTGCTTTCATTATACCTTGTATTCGTGGGCTTTGAATGGGTTTGGTCATGAGAGTAGTATAATAGTAGTACTGCTAAGCAAGAATAGAACTTTGGTGGTTTCTACATACAAAGCTTAGTTTATGAATGAATGGATTCCATGGGTATGTTTTTCCAGGTTCAGGCTTTAAAAAAAAAACTACATTATTTGTATGGTGATAGCATCGAAAAGTACATTAATTGCTGCAATAAATTTAGCGGCGTGGTTCGTCATCTAGAATTCCAGATGAAATAGTACATGTCTGCATTGATATAGGAAGGGGCGCTAAGAAAGAATTATGTATGTCGATTCATTCCATCGTGATTTCTAGCGATACAACTTCTCTGTCATCCGCTGCTGATACTCCAGCGCCGTAATCTCCTCATACGCCTGGGGCCGCTCCGGCGTGACAAAATCCGCCAAAGGCCCGACAGACGTATCGCGACCAGCCTTGAGAAAGAACACACACGAATACCTCTCCGGCAGCGTCTCCGAGTTCAGATTCTCGAATCCAGGCGGCGGACTCACCTGGTGCAGGCCCGCCGTGATCACCCCGTTCGTCCACCGCTGCAAAGTATCGCTGACGTTGACGACCAGCTCCTTCGGGTTCGGCGGCACAGGCACGAACTTGCCCGGTCTCCGCCGATCCTCCAACTCCAGACCCCCCGTCTCGCCCTGGACTAACAGCGTGATGATCCCAAAGTCTGTGTGCGGCCACGTCCGCTTCACATTGCCAGCTCTCAGCTTCGCCACGTCTACAGAAGGGTAGTGGTTTAGACGCAGCTCGCTGGCGCTGGGGATGCAGCGGCTGACGAACGTGTCGGGCTCGAGTCCCAGGCCTAGTTCCAGTATCCGCATGATCTGAAGACTGACGTCCTGGAAGAGGGAGTAGCTTTGCTCGATGAAGGCTTTGAAGCCTGGTAGCTGCTCTTCGCTAGGCCAGCGGTTGGGATAGAGGCTGTCATCGAGCGGTCCTGCGTCGAAGTGTTCCTGCAGATACTTTAGTAAAAAAAAATTCTCCTAAAAAAGAATAATAATAATTTTAGTAAATGCTTACTTACTTACCCTCTCATCCGTAAGATCATCCCCCCCCCCGGTCCAACACTGCACATTGTCCTCACGCAGCTGCGCCGTCCTCTCGACGCCAACAGTGCTCCAACCCCGCTGCAGATGCGGACCGGGGATGTTCCTAATACGGGATTTCTCCTCGTCAGGGAGGTTGAAGAAGCGCGCTGACTTTGGAAGGTAGCATAGTCAGTATGACACATGCATATACACTGTGTAGAGGACATGTATGTATGTACTGACGTAGGAGAGAGCACCCTTCATAATCTCCTCCGGAATGGGATGATTGATCAGCCGCACGAAGCCATGGTCCTTGAAGCTTTGTACGAGGGCGTCGGCGAAGTGCTTCTTTTTTGTGGGTGTGCCGGAAATAAACAGTGAGAAGTCGAGAAGGGGGAGGAGGGACATATTAGAAAATATCAGTGGTTGGATAAATGAAATAGTAGTGTTGATTCTATTAGTAAAAATTCTATGGAGAATGTAATGTAAGGAGGTATGGTATACACGATTTCATATGAATGCGTATTCGCTACTATATATATATTATTTGTTTTTCCCCTTTGAAATAATTGAATGAATGAATGAATGAATGAATGAGGCTCTGCTTATTCTTATTCTCATTCTTATCTATTATAATTAATGCTGCGGTAAGGCTGACCAGTAAGTCCTTAAGGCCAAGGCTCAGCCTCAGCCCTTGCAGCTTGATGCATGCATGCATGCATGGGCCTGGCCTTGCCTGGCCTTGCTAGTATGGGAATTAGGGTTTCTGCTCAGCAGCAGCTGAGCTGAAGGTAACTGACTCACACAACCCGACCAGGATACGAACCTCAATACGAACAAGACCACACGAGACCACACGAGACCACATAGGGCGCAGCCTGCTAGCATAGCAGCTCTATTGTTGTATTAAGTCTAGAACGGAAGTGATTAATTGGTGTCAACTGGAAGGAATGTAAGTATGTACATGAGTCAGTCAGTCCATTCTCGTATGGAGTATGCTTCGTATGCTTATCTGCTGGCCTAGGACATTACGAAGCAAAATGGGCGAGACGCATCTACATACTTGCGTCGCAGCAAGACGTTCGAACGATAGACCCTCAGAGACGATTGGGTGCCTCAAGTACTGTACTGTACAGTACATGCAGAAGACATGTATGTGCAAATCTCCGACCCTCGCCACAGCGGCGGTGTACTGTACATACAGTACTGGAATCTTCCGACCGATCATCGACGGCTGTATGTTCTGTCTGCTTGACAGCAGATGGATGGATCCCCGCTGCCTGCCTGCCTGCCCGCTGCCCGCTCCGTCCGGCTGGCGGGGCGGAACTCCGCCATGATCTTGTATCTGATCATCCCGCCTCGTGCCAGTTCTTCCCCCAAATCCATACATGACAATGACAGAGCGGCTCATAAGAAAGACGTCGATATTGCGGCTGTTCGAGTTTGAATCTCGTTACGGGGATCTTGAGCTGTAGCTTAGATTTGTATGTATATATTTACATACTGCTGGAAATGAACTCAACTGTGGAAGCAGTAGGCACGTAATGTACGTACACTGAGATGAAATCCAGAGATTATTTACTCTAACATGTGAAGGAGTCGACTCGATCTTGATTCTATTCCCACTATTTCAAAGGTCTTTGGTTGCTGTTAGCTGTTTTATTTGTCTTTTGTGTGTGTGTGTGTGTGTGTGTCTGTCTGCAGTTCGTTATATCGCTCTCTATCTACACGGAAGATAAACTAATATTAGTATTAATTTTTATTTTTTACTTTCTTCATTTTTAAAGATGATGAATAAGGATAAGATGGATAGATAGGATAGGATAGATGCGCGTCCAAGTATCGATTATCGAGTATCCCGATGCACTCCAGATTGCTACACTTAGGCACTGCTGATGGATTTCCCGAACATGTAGTAGTCGAATTTCTACAACGTCAGATCAATTATTCATTCATTCATTCGAATTCATTCATACATTCATACAGTATTTTAAATTACATATTACGTCGCTCTCTTTTCCATTCCAGTCTCTCTACTAGCATCTCCCAGCTCTGCTCACCGTCGATACGACCCACGCCACGCAGCCCCGCCACAATGAAGGAAAGCAAACGATCAAACTGGTCGCGGACATGGCGCAGGCGATGGGAATAGGGGGATTCCAAGAAGGAGATGCTGGTTGTGTTGCCTTCGTCTTCGTCTTCATCCTCATCGTCGTCGTCTTCATCGAAAGTATTTTCATCATCATCCGAGATGGACACGCGTCGATTCCGCTTACGATAACTGTGAGAGACATGTCTACGGCCAGCAGCACTTCCAACCGAACGGGTCGTCTGATCGAATTGATTCTGTCCCCCGCAGCGCGCAGCTTGGATGTCGGCGAAATGGACACAGAGATCCAGCAGGCTGATAACGGCCTGGTAGATGGGCGCCAGGTTCTTCGACAGCAGGCACTGCTCTTCTAGCGACGACATGTACGCCTGATGCGCGGCGATCATGCCGTCGACGTCTTTGGCCGCCGCGAGGGATTTCTGCATCGACGAGGTCGCCATCGCGATGACCAGTTCTGTCAGGTGGCTGTAGAGGATGTTGGTGAACCAGAGAAGGCCGTGCCGGACAACATAGCCCATGTTGTCGTCTTCACCGTCAAATTCTGGATCGGTGTTGCTGCTGCCGCGCTCTTTCCGCAGACGCTGCCGCTCCAATATGTACTTTGCTCGGCGGATTTGCATCAGAAATGTCCAGATACGCTGGTAGGTGAGAATCGAGTTCTTCGTTATGATGTTCGCAACGGGCCATGGCAGGACGTAGTCGATAGACAACGACTTGAGGACCTTCACCGTGCGACTGCGATTCCCCACGTCGTGGTAAGGGCCTCGCGATGAGCGCACTATGAGTCTGGAAGAATCGACGGACGGGACGTCGCTGAACGCGCTTTGCACCAACTCCGTCAGCAGGAATCGGTCATTCCAGACTCCTCGACCTCGATCGAGCAGCTCGAATATCTTGCTGTCGATGGTGGAAGAGATGGTAATGTCGCGACACAAATAGATGTATTCTAATGCCGAGAGAGATGTCCAGAGCCCGCATTGCTGGTCGAGCTGCTCTCGCAGAAGATTCGAGGCCAGACGGTGGTTCGTGTCGATCAGCTTCTCGAACGCCGCGTCAAGCAGTCCCGAGAACGGGATCATGAGCAAGGATGCATCATCGGGGCAGACGTCCTCGAAAGCCAGAGAAGTCCTCTCGAAGGAATCCAAGTCCTCAGGCGTGATATTCAGGTTTCGAAGGAAAATCATGCTCTTTCCCGTCGTGAAAACTTTGTGAGCAGCAGGCTTCAGGAACTTGGGAGCGTTCAGACGACCGAATGTCTCGTCCAACGTGTACCAGTCATGCCAAAGGGTTCGCAGGTCGTTGGTGTGGCGGGTATCGCGGATGAAGAAAGTCCCCTGCGCGGCGTCCAATTCTCCCGTTTCCATCCACAGCCGGATTGGCCGCGTATAAGCCTCAAAGCAGTCAAAAAATAGCCTTGCAAGGCATTTGAAATCACGATCGTTACCGGCCGCCTGGTTCATGCAAACCAGGTCATACAAATAGTCGAGGCACACGAACGACTTGTCAGAGGGCGCCGTTTTCAGTTGCGCCACCAAGTCGGCTAGCAAGAGGAGCACTCGCGACTCATTTTTGACGTCTTCCATCAGTTGTAGCAAGCTGACCGTCACCACCTGGCCCAGTGACAAATACTGCAATTGCAGTCTCGACAGGGCCGCGTCGAACGCCCGCAGATGCTCTTCAACACCTCGGACAAACGTCTGCAGAAATATCACAGACTGGGGTGTCTTGACAAATCTCCTCAAATCACCTATTTTGGCTCCAATCGAGGCACAGGAACGAAGGATGTGCAAGAAAGCCGGGTTCGACGAGTGGCGGAGAGCATATCTTCGATCAACTTCGACGCTATCATCAAGGTGCCAGAATAGCGACGTGGGAAGGCCCTGGAGCATAAAGAGAATCTCTCGAGCGGCCTGCAGTTCGGTGATATAGCGGGTGTGGCTTTCGGAGAATTCTCGAATGGCCGCCGAGTCGTACTCCCAGAAATGGCCACTCTTGATGGTAGCAATCAAGTCCTCATCTTCGCCTGTCGAGAAAAGCTCCTCTGGCACGACAAAGTCATCTTGCGACGGCTTGGTGCTCTGCGGCACAATCTTCGGAATGGAGACGTCACTCGAGACGGTCGAGTAGTCATCATCCGAAGAAGACTCAGCGGCAAAGTCAATGTCATTCCAGATGTCTTCCTCGGCATACGCGGCGCCCGAGGCATCCAGATCGGACCATGTCAAGCGTGCAGGCTCTTGGGGCCTCTGGAGCTCGAACTTGGGTGGTTTGGATAGTGCTGCTGGCCGATCCGACAGCTGCAGCAGCAAGGACAGGACCTCTGGAGCCCAGGGCACGCGCTGCTCGTTCAGCTCCGCTAAGCGGACGTACAAAGCGTCAGCCAGGTCATCCCTGTTGAGGACGCGGAATTTCTCCTGAAGGCCATCCAGCTGCTTGGTCACGGCGAAGGGGTCTGTTCGTCCCCACGTCGTGTTGTCCCTCAGGACCGCCTCGGAGCGAGTTCTCAAGCTCTTGAAGCGCGACGTAGTCTGCAGACATTAGCAACTGTACTATACTGAAGTCATCTAGATTATGGATTACCTTGTCGGGTGTTTTCGCGACGACGGCAATGAGCTCGTCGGTCAGGGCGCCAACTGTGGCCGAGCGGGCCATGCTGGAGACTGGCGCGCAGGCGTCATGGGAACGCCCACGCAAATCCAGTCTGAGTCTGATATCAGACTATCTTATCTGAGTTATCTCAATCAGTCGTTATACTGTTGTTGTGTGACTGGCGATCTCCTGACAATTCCGCGGACGCGTGTGCTGCCGCGCTAGTCCCGTCCGGGCAAGGCGGCCTCAACGCCAGCCAACCGGCGCTTCGAGACTCATCGCAGAGATCGAAGACATCAACCGGAGGCAATGCATCCTGTGTCCTCCGCCGCAACAATTTCTTCTCTCTTACTGTCCTGCCTGCCCTCTCCATGCCAACATGGCTGTCGCAAGGCCGCTGCGGCTCCTCGGAGCAGTCACCATCCTGCTGGTGCTGGTTCTCATCTTCCAGTTCTCCAGGTCCCCGACGGGGTTCCCCGGAAGGGGCAAGCTGGTGAACGGCATGAAGAAAGATCCGCTCTTAGATCGTATGCTCTTTTGTGTTTGCTTTAGGAGGCACAGTACTGATTGTTTGCAGCGACTGGGGAGCCTGAAGGTGTGTTATGGCGAGCCGAAGACCACGACTACGCCCCCGACAGCCCCAACTCCGCCCGGATCAATGCGACTCTGCTCGTCCTCGTCCGCAATGAAGAGCTGGACCAGCTGATTCCGACGATGCGCGACCTCGAGCGAACGTGGAACCACAAGTTCAACTACCCCTGGACGTTTTTCAACGACAAGCCCTTCACCGAGGAGTTCAAGAGGCGCACCCAAGAAGTGACCAAGGCCAAATGCAACTACGGTATGCGGTGGAAGGAAGATGTGTTTCGGGACGCAGGTGCTGACAATTGCTACAGAGCTGGTGCCAAAGGAACATTGGGACGTCCCGGACTGGATCAATATGGATCTGTTCGAGGAATCGGCCCAGCTCCTGAAGGAGAACGGCATCCAATACAGCGACAAGCTATCTTATCACCAGATGTGTCGGTGGAACAGCGGCATGTTCTACAAGCACCCGGCTCTGCAGAACATGCGATACTACTGGCGCGTGGAACCCAATGTCCAGTTCTTCTGCAACATCGACTATGATGTGTTCCGGTACATGCAGGACCACAACAAGACGTACGGCTTCACGATCAACCTCTTCGACGCGCCGGAGAGTCTTCCCAGCCTGTGGCCGGAGACGAAGCGATTCCTCGCCGCACACCCGGAGTACCTGCACGAAAACAACATGATGGAGTGGCTGGTGGATGACACGTTGCGGCCCGAGCACACGAAGAAAGCGAACGGCTATTCGACCTGTCACTTCTGGTCGAATTTCGAGATTGGGGACCTGGACTTTTTCCGCAGCGAGCAATACGAGGCGTACTTTAACCACCTGGATCGGGCGGGTGGATTCTTCTATGAGCGATGGGGTGACGCGCCGGTCCACTCCATCGCGCTGGGTTTGTTTGAAGACGCGAGCAAGGTGCATTGGTGCGTGTCTCTTCCAGTGTTTAAACCTGGTTGCGTTTCCTGACGTTGTTTATCGCAGGTTCCGCGACATCGGCTACCGACACATTCCCTACTTCAACTGCCCCAACTCCCCCAAGTGCAAGGGCTGCACGCCAGGCCAGTTCTACGCCGGAGAGCCCTTCCTGGCGAAGGAGGATTGCCGACCAAACTATTTCAAATACGTCGGAACCCACTGAACCGCATGACTCAGCCAGCAAACACACGATACCTCATTCATTCACACATTTCCTCGGATATTTCCTCCTCCGAGAGGAGATTCAGAAGAAAAAAGAAAAGAAAAATCCCCGACATGACTATATTTAAATCATATTAAGAAAATGAACCAACAATGGTCATTGTTGCACAAAAACGATTAAAAGAAGAAGAAAGAAGGAGAAGAAGAAGATCGAATCGAATCGAATCGAGTCAAGCTATAAACAATACATACAACGGGACGGCGTTCACGGACAGGCTGGGTTTTTTTCATGAAAGATTAAAGCAAACTTGACATTGCTTTTTTTTTTTGCAATTAATCAATCTTTTTCTTGTATTTATTTAGCTATATACGCTGTTCTTTTTTTTTCTGTTACTCTACTCCCTTGTTATTTGTTATGTCTGTTATTGTTGTCAGTCAATCAGTCAGTTACTGTGCCTTAACTAGGTAGGTATGTAGGTAGGTACTGTACCTAGGTACGAAACTCAACGTTATATAATATATATTATATAACGCGGTGGGTTTGGATTGATTTGACATGATGTCTCGTTTCTTGTTCTTTCTTCTCCGAAAAGATCTGCACTGTACGACTGGATATAATCCTTTTTCTTTTTCTGTTATATGAATTTATTTAGTTATTTATTTAGTTAGTTGTTTACTTATTCGAATATCTTTGTTTAAGCGTCGACATCCGCATCGAAAAGGAAAATGACTTAATCATCAACAATACAAAGATAGTTGCCATTTACACGACTGTTGAGCTGAGCTGAGCTAAGCTGAGCTGAGCCGAGTTGATAAAGAAATTTGTTTGTTTGATTGTTCGTTCGTTGGCAGGCCGCAGGCAGGTACGTAGATAGATAGGACGGACTGAAATTCAGTCAGATCAGGTCTGTCAGGTCTGTCGGGAGAGGATAGTATCGGATAGAATGGGATGGATATCAATAGATGGATGATGATGGATTGATGGATTGATTAAACACTCAATTGACCAAAAAAAAAAGGAAAAGAAACAACAAGAGATAGACAACGACGACGAAAAAACACCACAAACACCGTGCAACTCGGCTCGGCTCGCTCCACAGACACCGTTTCAATCAATCAATCAGTTCATTCATCAGACACTTGCATTGATATTGGTATTGTATTGGTATTGATATTGGTATGGTATTGATCGATCGATTCGATTGGATTGATTCCCTGCCTGCACCTTCTCTATGTATCTATACAGCTTTCCAAAAAGGTTGTTTGGGTTGAAAAATGGATGGTATTTGTGACAGTTTTTTGTTTCTGCGACGACACTACATTTACTGGTTCTCAGGGTAGAGCTCCTCCCGCAGAGCGACGCCAAGCTCCTTCCTCAGACCGTCCAGCTTCTCAAGGTACTGGTGGTACTGGTTCTCGTTCTCGACCTTGGCCTTGATACCTGTACGAAGTTCTAGTTAGATTATCGCCTTATGTGATTGCGGGCTGCAGGCGCACCTTCGAAGATCCGGACCGCAGTGGGGAAGTCGTTCACCCGGCGAGCAGCGCGCAGGGCAGCGGCGAGAACCTCAACAGAGGGCACGAGATCGTAGGCAAAGGCATTGTTCAGGTTGCGCTGTGATGGCAGGGTTAGTCAGATGTTGCTGTCTGTTGCTGTTGTCGGGGTGATTGTGTCGGCCAATGGCATCACGGCCAATCCAGCAAAACCCGTCCCGGGATACCGGGCTCTGTCTTTTCCGCAGGGACAGACGACGTGAGCGGACGAGAGCGAAACGTACCTGCAGCTCGAAGACATCCTGCACGGCATCGAATTCCTTCTCATATCTGCAATTGGTCCATCAGAAACACGGCTCAGTTGAAACAACTCCCTGAGGCGACGCTGGTCCGAAAGAAAAGGTCTTTTGTCGGGGATGGGCCGCATTCCCTGACAGTTCCCTGATCGTTCGTTCTCGCGACCAGCCCAGGGCTCAATGGGACGGCTGCCTACCTGGCCGAGAACTCCTCGTAGGTCTCCTCCTCGTGGCCGGCGCTGAGGCGTTTGGACGAGGTGCTGAAGCTGTTGGCACTGCCGAGAGTCGAGCGGGCAGCAAGGGCCGACCGGGAAGCGTAGGAAGCTCTGGCGAAGCTGGCCGGGCGGGCCGTTCGCGAAGCGATGCGGAAGAGGGTGGTGGAAGCCATTGGGCAGGAAAAGAAGGAAAGAAAAACCAGGTGCTGAGCGGTGGTCTGCAACGAGGGTGCGTCTGGGTAAGGATGGTGAAGCGGACGAAGGCCAGAGAACGGTCGACCGGCGCTGCTGAGGCGAAACGGGTTTTCGCGGGTGGTGTGATGTTGCTGCCTGAGGCGCCCAGGCTGCCAGGCAATCTGTTTCCGGATAGCTGGCCGCACGCCCGGTTTATGACGTGTGTGGTAGAGCAGACGCAAATTTGTACCACTTGAATTGTTCTGTCCAAGACTACGGAGTAGTTTTGTTTCTATCAGCAATCGATTAGGCCAGAAGCTGCTGGCAGGAGTGCTCTGTACCCCGTCCTCCGTATTATTATTACGGAATTCAACGCACGATCCAACCACAAGCCACTTAATACTAATTCGTCTAGATCTGATCTGCCTGATTGTTCGATAGATAGGCCTATCGCATATCTCGGCGGCTGGAATGGCCAACATCCCAGGCATATTTGTGTTTATGCCTGCATAACATGTACCGGGGTAGCATTTAGGTGCTGACAGCATTGTTGTCATTTAGCAGATACGACGATAGATTTCTTCGTGCTCCAGATGCTTCTTTACATTAATTGGCATCTTTATATCCAGATTGGCAGCTAATTCCATCGTCACCCAAGTACTATTCTGGCGGAGCTGGATTGATTACTTCGGAGACATCGGAAGCAACAACGTTTACCGGACTGCAGGGTTGCAGAGGAGACGCGACTTAAGCTGGCCTCACATGCGAAGATCACCACATGCGAGGTACCCACAGGTATCTTTTTGTACTTCCCGCGGCAAATCCCTCGCACAGGTACCTGCAGATACCTGGTGGTACGTGCCGGCTGCCCCTTTTACGCCGGCCCGCGAGCCGCTAAGCCCGACCGAGGCAGCGTGTGCGGCCTATCGGACGCCCAGACGCAGAGCCAGCCAAACTGAATTCATTCACCTTCGCCGTGTCCTCTTTTTCCCCTTCTCTGCCTCCAGCCGCCGTCTTCTCTGCCTTGCTGGCGCCCAATTCTTCTTCCCTTTCTTTTGGTCTTCTCTTCTCCTGTCGCTCCTTCAGCCTTGTGCGCGAGTACGTCCTTATAATCCGCTTTCCCGGGTCTGCGACGGGTCGTTTTTTGTTGGTCGCGTCTCCGCTCAACAAAACGGGCGTTGGGCCCAAATAACCAGCAGCATCCCAATTCGAAGGGTCGACCAAGTGTCCTGCCGTGCTCGCTTCTCGTCTCTAATCCCTAATCCCCCCCCCCCCCCCCGTCGCACGCCATCATGTCGCTGGACGTGTTGAAAAATATCCCTCTTCCCTCCATCGACCGCCCTTTTGGGATCCAGCTATGGCCCATCTTCAGCAAGGCCTTTGAGAAGGTCGTGGGGTACCCTGCTGACGACTTCCGCTTCGTCGCCGGTGTCACCCCGATGTCGACCTTCAAGGAGACGGCCGCCGCTCTGATCACCTACTATGTCGTCATCTTTGGCGGTCGCGAGGTGATGAAGCGGTTCCCCGCGCTGAAGCTCAATGGCCTGTTCATGATCCACAATCTCTACCTGACCGCCATCAGTGCGATCTTGCTGGCCCTCTTTATTGAGCAGCTGTTGCCCACGGTGTACCGGAATGGCATCTTCTTCGCTATCTGCCGTCATGAGGGTGGTTGGACTCAGCAATTGGTGGTCTTGTACTATGTGAGTGCTGCTGGGAGGACAGGCGAATCGCGCATAGAAGACTGACGGGTCGACAGCTCAACTACTTGACCAAATACCTTGAACTCCTCGACACCGTCTTCCTGTTCCTCAAGAAGAAGCCTCTGACGTTCCTGCACACCTACCACCATGGCGCCACCGCCCTCCTGTGCTACACCCAGTTGATCGGCTTGACGGCCGTGTCGTGGGTTCCGATCACGCTGAATCTGACAGTCCACGTGGTCATGTACTGGTACTACTTCCAGAGCGCCCGTGGCATCCGCATCTGGTGGAAGGAGTGGATCACCCGTCTCCAGATCATCCAGTTTGTCATTGACCTTGGTGGGTATTCTCGGCGGTATGATCAGCTATTGCGGGTTTTCTGACTGTCGTAGGGTTCGTCTACTTCGCTTCGTACACCTACTTCGCGTACACCTATTTCCCCTGGGCGCCCAACATGGGCAGCTGCGCGGGTGAAGAGTTTGCGGCCTTCTCTGGCATTGCCATCCTGAGCTCGTACCTCCTGCTGTTTATCTCGTTCTACCTGGCGACGTACAAGAAGACGGGCAAGGGCGGACGGCCGCGTCGGAACACGGGCAAGCAGGCTGCGATCGAGATGAAGAACTTTGAGGTTCCGTCCGTGTCCAGCTCGCTGACCAACGGCAGCGCCAAGTCCAACAAGACCAATGGCTCTGCGGTGTCGTCTGCTCGTCAGAACGGACCCGTGACGCGGTCTCGCAAGGCTTAAAGAATCAGCTGTGCTTGGACAGACTGACAGCATGCTTTGGCTGCTTGTTTGGACGGGCAAGTTTGATCCTAATCTTGGCGTCGGCTGCTTCTAGTCGACAGGCGGAGGAGCGGTTAATTTTTTTTCCCCCTTGAGGTTCACTAATAGAGATGCTACTGTCTAATGAATGACGGTCATGGAGTGGGTTTACCCGGTGGCGGTGTTCCTTCGGGTAGGGAGGCTTCTGGGAAGCATTATAGGAAGCATATACGGGTTGGCCGCGAGGCCCGGCTTGTCGCGTCGGAAAGAGAGGACAGGCATATATTGTACTGTATGTACTGTACGTCATTGCATAAAGTTGGTGTGTTTGCATTCCTGGCCATTATCTTTTGGCCAGGTTTTTTGCGCTTTTTTTTATGTTTTAATGTCCCCTTATTTTTGCTTCTCTTGTCATATGTCATGTTTATTTATCTCTGTGCCATAGATGTCCTGTCTTGTCTGTGCGATCCGATCCGATCCGATCCGGCCCGGTATGTATGTACACAATACCTAATCTAATACTTTGCTTGATGAATAGTACGAATAATAGTAGTTATTATCTACGTGAGTGGAGCAGTGGTCGATAGCCAGGGATCACAGAGATAGCAGAGATGGTAATAGAGTTGAAGTCAGTCTGCAACCTAGGTAATACATAGCTACAGTAGGCCGAAAGAAACAATCTAATCAATAATCAATCAATAATAATGGAAATTCTATGATATCAATCATCTTACGTACGTACTTCATCGAGCGAAACTTGATTGATGATATCACTCGATCACAGAAAATCCTTATCTTGAAACAGTAAAAAAAAGAGAGATAATAACATTAGCGGAAGCTTGCAAAACAAAACAGTACATACGTAGTAGTACGTAGGACATAGTCCATAGTACATACTTAGAAATGAAGTGACGAATTTAAATATATAGGTATAGGTAAGTAATAGTAGCTACCAGTCCACTAATTAATTAGTCACACTTTTCTTTTTTTTTTTTGGATATTAATTAATATAGATATTAGTACTTCCAGTGTACTCCGTATATGAACGAAGAGAAATAAATAAAGAAATTAAATAAAAAACATAATCAGGTACAGTACAACCTGTGTCACCAATCCCCTACACTGTACTATATTATATTATCAATATTGTTATGAATGATCTATTATCTATCATCCATGGCCATGGATACTGATACTGATGCTGATACTGACGGTCCTCGTTTTTTTTTTCTTTTTCTTTTCCTTTCTCTCTCTCTCTCTCTTTCTTTCTTTTCC